AGAAGCGGAAGGAGACACCAGCCCCCGAGGGGTGAGCAGCCGGTGGCAGCCCCATCCCTGGCCCCGTGTCCCCCGCCGTCCCCACCCGTCCCTCCACCTCCATCCCTGTCCATCCCTCCCCGTCTGTCCCCTCCACCCATCCCTACCCACCGCTGTCCGTCTGTCCCCTCCACCCATCCCTACCCACCGCTGTCCGTCTGTCCCCTCCACCCATCCCTACCCACCTCTGTCCGTCTGTCCCCTCCACCCATCCCTACCCACCGCTGTCCGTCTGTCCCCTCCACCCCCCTACCCACCGCTGTCCGTCTGGCCCCTCCACCCATCCCTACCCCCCGCCGTCCCTCTGCCCGCCCCTCATCCCTACCCACCGCTGTCCGTCTGTCCCCGTGCCTCCCCGGTGTCCCCATGGGCCCCCGTGTCCCCATCCTCGTTTCCACACGACGCTGAGTGGGTCTCCGTCCCCACAGGGCCGCACGACCCCCCACCCGGAGGGTCCCTCTCCGGGTCCCGGGGTGGCTGGGGACACCACAGGGGCTGCGCAGGGGACACATCCCGTCCCCCAGGCACCTCCAGTCGCCCCCTTGCTCCTCCTCATTGAGGGCTGGCAATGGGCCACCCGCTGACGCCAGCCGCTGGGACGTCGGGGATGGGGAGACTGGGGAGAGGGATGTCGGGGATGCAGACATCGGGGGTGGGGACATCAGCTCCAGCTGAGCTTGCCCTGCCAGATGGAGCGGGCACGTCACTCCCGTTTGCATCAAACGCAAGATCCTTCCTTTCAGAGGCCGCCTGAAAACACTCGAGGGGTGTATTTTACCCGCCCCTAAACTCCTTTTCTCTTGCCTTTACATTCCTCCCCAAAAAGGGGAGAAATGCCAATCAGCAACAGCAGCAATCGGACCGTCAGAAATGTCCTGATAACACAGGCGGCTTCCAACAAGGGTGCCACTGGGGCAGGGGGAGTTCGCTAAAAGCGCCCAGGCATGCCTACAGCAATGCACGACAAATGGCAATGCACGGACATCAACTTGTTACGCCAGACGGCCTTCACTGAGGACAAGTCTTCTTGAGAACAAGGCACCGTGGTCACGTTTTGTGGGTTTTTTTTTCTCACTCTTCCCCTTCCAGGTGATGCTGATCAAGCCCCAGGCACCTGCAGCTTCCCTGAGACCTGCAATCCCATCTTCAAACAATTAACCGCATTCTACTAATTCCAGTAAACAACTATGAGCATATGGATTTGGAAAGTGATTACTTTTGGTATTTCATCTTGTCCCATTACTACCAAAGAACTTTTCTGATGTTTGCTGCAGTGATCCCAGCTGCATGTTACACACTTCAGTTCCTGTGTTAGTTGTGGCATTAGCATTCAAGAAAAACACAAGTTATTCTGTATATAACGAGTCACCGTAACGATTTGGAGATGCACCTTTAGATGGCGCTGCAAAACCACACTTAAAATAACCGTGCACAGCTGAGTTCTAATTCTTGGTTTGTTACAACTTCAATAAAAACACCCCCAAATATTTTGTACGTTCACCTTGAGCTGGGTGTGTGTATGTGAGGAAGATCTGCTCTCTCTAATTTTTATGCCTCAGAAAAAACGTTGTAATATTAGGACTACGGGCGAGCACTGAAACCAAAATGAACAAATTACTCACATAACTAAATGTTTAGAAAATGTTGAAGGGCTGGGTGGCAGGATATCTTCAAGAGAGTACGTCCCAGTGCTAATGCTGTTATGTATTTGATCCTGCACCCGATCGCTGTGCTGCTTTCAACTACGGTGTTGCTATTGTTGTGGTTATCCCGTGTTCCGAATCCTTCCTTCTCTCAGATTTTGCACTTCCTCAGCACGTTCGCTGCTGAGCAAGATTCTTTTGCAACACGCCTGCAGGTTACACATCCTAACTCGATTTTTCCAAGAACTTCCTAATGTTGCAGCTCTAAGTTTCAGAGGGTTGAGCACGGTTACACGGTGCTATAACCGGTTCCTGAAGCAAGACTCTCTACAGATAAACCCTCCCGATGGTATACATTGCCTGGCAGTGCTTACGCGGCTTCCTTGGCGCATTGAAGCCTTTGCTCCAGCCACGTGCTGACGCCTAATGGTGGCAAACGCCGCACCAGCAGGACACGGGCACCCGCCGGGAGAAGCAGGCGGTGAGAGCCTGGAGAAACGCCCGGAGGAGCAGGAGGAGAGTGCACAGTGCCCACAGCGTCCTACAGATGCTGCCTCCAAGCGCATGGCTGCGCTGGGGTGGGAATCAGAGGGGGGCATAACTCACCTGAGGTCCAAGAACCTTTAACTTCAATTTTTCAGTTTAAAACTCCTGAGGTTAATAAAATATGTATTTTTTTAAAATCCTTTTTTTGAGTTCTAGAGGAATTCCAAGGATCAGAGACAAAGCATTAAAAATAGGAGAAGGTTGCCTTTGCAAAGAACGGCCAAAGGCAAGTCAAAGCTGGACTAACAGTTGGACTATTTAGTACCTAGACTGACACAGAAAGATAGTAAAAACAGTTCCCTCCTGCAGCTCAAATTCTTCAGTATCATTTGTTCAGAAAGAATACTGGGGACACAGGTCATCTTCTGAAATGGCGCAGGCAGATGTCGCAGAGCGATGAACGACCTGCTCCTTCCGAGCTAGGGCAGCTCTGCTCAAATCTCCGTAGTTCAGTTCATTGAAGAAGTGCTGTTTCTCAGCATAACATTGAAATTGGGCTTTGAGGCAGCAGGTTCTCTACAGTTCAAGTAGAACAACTGAGTGATTTGATCTTGGTGTTTAGCCTTGCTAACACGTAAGCACAAGGAAAAAAACACTTGAGCAAAAAATTCTAAAAACAGAGCTTTATTTACGACAGTAAAAGCAAACCAAACCCACCACCATTATGAAGACCAGGCTGTTCCAGTGGCCTTTTATCAGAAGTCATCTGCTTCAGAAAATCAAAACAAAGTCCATCAATTCACCCATCATTCTTCCAAACGGAAAGAGTTCGGAGCTGCCACATCTTGCCAGAGAAGCAGGAAGAAGAACCAGAGAAAGTTATTGCCGCCTCCTTTCTACTTGCCTTCCCTGCACATTTTTTCCCAAATGTGGAAAAAGACACATCTTGCCAGAGAAGCAGGAAGAAGAACCAGAGAAAGTTATTGCTGCCTCCTTTCTACTTGCCTTCCCTGCACATTTTTTCCCAAATGTGGAAAAAGACGACACCTAATCCAGTTAGGGTAGTATTTTGCTAGCAGTTTGGTACAGCTGGAACAAAGGACAACACAGTCCATTTACAGCTCTGGACCCGAGTTAGTCCGAGGAGAACAGAATTCCTAACGGGTACAAGGGGAGGGCCAAAGCAAACATCCAGCCATTGATGAATATAGGTTTGCTGGAGAGGAGAAAGACTGCAACATCAGAGGAGGAACGCTTTAGTCCTGCAGAGGTGGTTGTTACAGGAAGATAAGAGAAGCAAATAAGCAAAGACTTTCAAAAAGGAAAACCAGAACGCGTGAGCAGTTGGTACAGAAAATAGACAAGATGAAACACTGGCTTTGCTCAGCTGCTTTGGAAAGTGAAAGATTTGTACAACAGGCAGTGGAGGTTTGTCTGAAGAGAGAAAGAGCGTTTTATTTTAAATTATTTAAATTATTTTTCCTTTCTCCCAACAGGCACAGTATTTTTAAAGTTACGTATCTCTTACTTCAGTCATAGGCAGACTTAAATAATAATTCAGCTATGGGGGTCGTGACGCTAGTGAGCAGCCCAAGGATCAGCCCAACAAAAGGCAAGGAGGATGAAGGGAAGATGGAGTTCCCAGCTACTGCACTCCCAGAGCTGCGTGCACCACCTTGGGTGAGGAAATCCGGCATGCATTGCATGTTCATCACGAATGACTGCTTTGTAAACAAAACTGGTAGGGATGTGCCTTGCCACACATCTCACACGAGCATTGCAGGCAGGGATCCCCAAAGCACTATGAAAGGCAAAGCAAGAGTTTCTTAGGTTACCTTCTACATGAATAAATAGACAAACAAGTCAACCCTCCCATCAAATCCTTCCTTGCCCTCCCACCAGCACCCCAACAGCACTGTTTAGGAGTTTCACTTGACCTCAACCTCTGCTTTTATTTGCACAACATCTTCCCAAAGTGCTGTAATACCAGGGTACCATAATAACTGAAATTAACTGTACCTCTTGCTATCAAATTTTCTTTACACTGATTTAATAGTCTAAGGGAGTGCATTTGCAAGTGTGTGGAAAGGTACTGGAAGATACTATACGTGTGTAAATCAAGGTGGCTTATGGACTTTGGCCCTCCTTTCTTGCAGGGTTCATCCCCAGCTTTACCCAGAAGGATGATAAAGAAGACCGAGCTAGCATTTAAATAAAGTCTTGCTCCTCTGCAACTCTTCACTGCAACAATTACGGAGTATCAGGGTCCAGATCTATTGCTAATTTCATTTCAAAGCAGTACAGATTTCATTTCAACCCAGGGACACCACGGTTATTAACAGGTCTCCGAGTCAAGGGGAAACAGACCAGGTATCAGCTGAGTGGCCACACCGGAATGTTAAGTCACACATTCATACTTACGAATCTCATAAATCAGCATCCTAAATGCTACAGCTTCCAAAGCTCGGCTGGTTTATTAAACTTTTGAGTATCGACAAGTCTCCGGATTTGTCAGCTACATCTCCTCACAAGCCTAGTACCGAATATCAGTAAGGGAGGTAACACAAAAGTGGCCCTTAAAAATAGGCCGCAAGACAAGGACAACAAGGCAAGAGATAAAGGCGTAAGCATTCAACAACATCAAAATCCGTTTAGAATCAAATACTCATTTTATAAAGAGATGTCTGAGACCAGCCGGAACAATGACAAGAAGCTGGTGGAAAGAAAAGTTATTTGGAAGGTCTGTCTGGAACACCTCAAAGACTCCACCAAGGGGCAGACTGAGAAAGGCGTTGAACAAGTCTGTCAATCGTCATGTTTTTTGTTCTGTAAAACTTGCAGAACAACAAGCTCAAGTCCCTGCTTTGGACACAAGATAGTAGAGGATGAAGAAAACAACAATCAGTCCTGCTGAAACATAACAGAGCAACTTGCGATTATCCCTCCCGGACCGCGTCATGGTGGAGAAACGCTTCACACTGCCGGTTAGCAGGCCAGTCACACTCATAAAATCTGAATCCTGAATGAGAAAGAAAATTAAGATGGAGGCATTATAAACAGATGAAGATATCCCTGAAGAATCTCCCACTTCCTGGCTAGAAAACACTTGCACAGGGAGCTGCGCAGTCGCTGCCCGTCTCTCCGCACCCATCGCGTCTCTCTCAGAAGGTCCTTCCCCTCCCATGCTCGGGCTCCAGGAGCAGCACCATTCCCACCGCGCACAAAATGGGGAAACAAAAAAGACAGGGGAAGGTCTGTTCCAAAGGTAAAACAAACTGCCTCCCCTTTTCTAAAACAGGGTCAAACGACCTGCTGCTAGACTATTCAATTAAGCTTCAATGCAGCTTATTCTGCCTGGAACAGCTTGTTAACAGCAACTCTACAAGTGAACGCTTCATCCAAAGGAAATGTCCCTACGTGAAGCTAGTGCCATTAATGTACACCGGGGCAGGCTCACAAGCACAGAAAAAGGTGCAATTTCTTGCCATTTGTTCTATTTTTTCTTCAGCATGGGACTGCATGCACGTGCAACTCTGCCAGAGGGTGGCAAACAATTCTCAGATTAATGCAGTTCAGGCATTCTCGCTTTGACTTCTGGTCTGTTATCCTTATCCACAAACTACTCTGAGCTTCTGCTCATGTTGCTCCTGAAATGCTTCAAAACCTTTTCTGTAGCAGAAGCACAATTTCATGCTGATTGAGGGCTTCTCCTTTAAGGTCTTTTGCCATTACACCTTTTATTCTGATTCTCCATTCTCCTAATTTTCAGGCTGAGCAAATATCCATTTCAGACACTCCAATACTGTCAGCATACACCGTTATTAAGCTTCCAAGCTGAGCTTACACCTTTGACTCAACTGGTTTCAACACTGCAATTATCTTTTCTCTCGCTTCCACGCACCAGCTCTCCAACATCCAGCACATGCAGAAAAGGCTCTCCAAGCACCGGTGTTACGGTGCTAATCTTCTCAAATCTCTGGGCTGGATTCCCTTCCTCTCACAATTCAGTTAACGAATCACCTTTCTCCTAAAAAGCCTCAGCAGGTAACCTCTCTGCCTCAGGAATGTGCTATTCTGGCCTTTCCCCAGTGCACTGTGATTTTCCATCAGCAACCAAAGCTTAAGAGGCAGATTACTGTGGAAAGCGATTTTGGTTTTATCGGGTGTTGTGTGTCAGAAAGATGACGGAACAGGGCGCCGAACAACCTGAGTGGACCCAGCGCATCAGCTTTGCTCCTTCCAAAGACGTCAGTGAACTACAAAGTCCTGACAGGTAGTCTGTGTTTCAGGTGTTACAGTAAGTAACCCTGACAGATTTGTACAGCAATAGCAAAAATCACAGGAGCAGCTGAGGAACAGGCCCATCTCCCAGCATTAGCCACAGGAGGCAGCTCTTTAATCCCAGTAAGGAGATAATCTCCACTGTATTTCTGAAGTGTGCTGTCCTACGTCAGTCTTTCCAGATGCTAGATACCAACTGTGTTGCCCATTCGGACAAAGCGATACTAGCAGCTGCTAAGTATCTGATGTTTATATATCAAGAAGTCCACTGGAAACGGGTTTAGTTACATTCCCTGGTTTGCCAAACCGACCACTGGGATCTAACTTTGTCTGCTAACTTTGAACTGCTACTAAACTTTCACAGTTAAGGTAACTGCTGAGAGCCAGCACAAAAAAGTCATGCTTTTTACATTTCATTGGTTCCTTACCATGCCATCCAGGTAACGGTTTTGTTCGTCAGCATCTTTGTCAATATCCAGAGCCAGCTACACAGGACAAGGGAGGAAACAGTTATTAATGAACTTTTAATGTAGAGAGAACCTCTAATGCATCTAGTGCTGGTAAGATTTGAAATGCACATTAGAAAAGCAAGCCACTGCTTCCCCGTCTCCTACACAGACAGACAGAGGCTTGTTCGGTAGAGGAACTGAACAAGATTCTCATTTTGGTTTCAGGTTGTTGAACTTTTTCAGCTCTGAAGCACTGACAATAAAGCTTGACTGTCTGAAACTGTCATATATAGGATAGAAGCATTTAAACGCTGGGACACGACAGCAGGAATTCAGAGTCTTCCCTTCTACAAGGCGAGTCACTGACTTCTATTAAGCTCTAAATCAAAGTATTTGATGTTAGTAGGAGCAAACTAGCTTTAAGAACACCGCTTACATAGAGACACGTGTATTTCTCAAAACTAATTTACCTGCCTTTTCATTGTGATTTTTTTCCTGAGGAGGTGCTCTTAGCAATACCCCTCTGTGCAGCTTTTACGTTTCTCTCTGTGCCTAAAACTCCTTCCCCGAGTGCTGTGAAAACCACATCATTCCCATTAGATGATATTGCTAAACCTCAAAAGGAAAGTGGAAATTCATAAAGCCGTCCCTGGCATTTCACAAGTCAAAATTAACCCTTATATCACCAACAACTAAGAGTCATTAATACAAAGGAAGCCCTCTGTATTGACCACAGGCTTGCATCTCCCGCAAGACCCTGCACGAACAACCTAGATAACTGATGCACTGTCCTTCCTTCACCGCGGCACCTGACGCGAAGTCAGCAACTCACCGACTTCAGCCTGGTGACCTTGTTGGCTAGGCTGTCTGCCATGCGCTTGTTCTCTACATCCAGCACATCCTCCACGGCACTTGGACTCTGACCTGGGAGGAAAAAAGAGGAGAATGAGTTTTATCTGGCCTGATACAAGTACTGGTATATTTGCTCACCCAACGTGGCGGGCGAGGCAGAGCAAGCTTGTTGCCCGACCGGTCTCCGGCTTGCCACGAAGGCCGTTACAGCTGCCCCCTCGCACCTATGGCCTCGTGGGGTTTGCGCCATGAAACGCTCCCAAACTCTTTTTGACAAAAACACACCAAACCTTCCCCAAACGGACTGGGTTAGAAACCCTGACACGCGCCCCGAGCCGCCACCACCGCCCAGCAGCAGCTGGGGGGCTTCGTGCCCCAGCGACGCCTCCAGCGCTGCCCCAGTTCGGGATCTGGGTGAAACCCAGCAAATCCGGGGCACTTCGCCCCCTCAGGCATTTCGGGGCTCTCCTGGCTTTGCCTCCCCCGGAGGCGCTGGGCAGACGGGCCG